AGAGAGTCCAGATCCAAATACAAGATTTGGATTAGGAAACTCCTAATGGGATTAGGAGATGCTCTCTTTAAAGGCTATAAATAGATGAGCAGGGCAAACCTCCAATACACAATTCTCAGTTCAGAGATTACAAAGAGAGAAGAATCTGTAGTTCGATTACTCTTGTCTTCTACTCTTTCTTGCTCTTGCTGCCATACCAGTTCGATCTCAACCTGTGGGAGCGATCAAGAAGAGTTCTTGATATTACCTTTTGGCAGAAAAGGTAATCTAAAGTCGTGCTCACTAGCCCTCCATTAGATTCTTGCTGAAAAACCATCCTGCTGATTCTGCTTCATCCTGCACCGTGTCATCTTTGGTGGAAGCAGTCTTTGGATTTTTCCTTGTGCGTGAACACTTTCATTGGAGGTTATTACTACTTTGTATCAGGTATATCCCTCCACTCCCTTTTGATTTCAGATTTCGTCTGGTTTAGGTTCAAGATTGATATTTGAAAATACAGTTTTCTAAAATAGGGAATGTGATTCCCACATGGGAGAGAGAGAAATTTTTGAAATTTCTCCCAACCTTCCTGTAGGGTTCGGCTATCCATATGATGAATCTCTCATCCCTTCAGATATAAAGGCGCCCGATGGGGGGATTAAGGCACTTGAAATTTCTCCCAACCCCAAGAAGATGCATTTAGTGGATCTGAATTGTAACTTGTTGGAGTTGTAGGGACGAAGATGCAGGTAGCAGGCACGCCCAAGAAGTTATAATCCGGTGGGGATCTGAAGAGACGTTGCCAAGGAGATACCATTTGAAGTGTCGTTGTAGGTAATATGTTAATTAAATATACAATAGTAGTAAAAACATCCAACCATCTGGTAGGAGGAGCAGAGGAAGTGGCCATCATGGCAAGCCTGGTTTCAACAACATGTCTATGACGCCTTTCAATAGACCCATTTTGTTCTTGAATATGAGGGCATGACTTACAATGCACTATACCAGAAGTAGAGAGCAAAGAGCATAACGGTTTGTATTCGGTGCTTGTAAGGAAATGGGTCTTTGAAAATTGAAGGAGAAACTCTGAGGAACGTTTAAAGACATTGTCTTTAAAACGTTATTTGCCCCCACTCAGTTTCACTGAGTTTGTTGTTGGGTTATAGGGAAATCCGTTCCCAGGATACAACAGAGCCTTGGACGAGAATCTGCAACCAGCAAAGTTGAAGAGTCTCGAAAGAAACCTTCTGTGAGATAGTAGCAGATCGGACTGAGAGAGAGAGAGAGAGAGTGATTTTCGAAAAAAAATGTATATGAAATTCTTGACTCATGCTCCTTAAATAGTTTGTGAAGAGTTAGGGAGCAGAGGAAGGTGTTGGTTTAGAGAAAGGCACATTGAAACTATTAACTTTGAATTGTGCCTCTTGATCACACCCGAGCCGTTGATCACATCAATGGTCAGGTCGCACCAAAAGCGAAAGCCGCCCTTTGCGAGCCATGCAAATGTGAGCAAAGTGCACCTCTAAAGCGCCTCATTGCATGGTAGAAAACCTCCATACTCTTTTCTCTTATATCTAAGTAGTGTAAATAAGCTCCTATTAAAAAACCCAAAGCAATTCTTGTAATTTTCCAATGTGGAATAAGTTAAAACTGGTTTTAATAAGAGAAAAGCTATTTTTCAAAACATGTGTGCAGGTGTATTTTGTCATGTAATTAACCAATCAAACCCCATTGGATTTAATCTTTAATGAGATTAAAATCCAACAGTGCCATCATCAATCTGCAAGATCTTGATTTTGCAATCAAGTAAAATTTCAACCATGTTTTTGAATTGTGGAGAAATAGTAGCAACTTCGCATAAGGAAAATCTCTTATTGGTGACTGGTAAATGAAATGCAGAAGTAACATGATTGGTGATGCGTGGACTAGGGTGGCCTATTTGTTGATACCAAATAGATAGTGAAGTGCACTTCCCAACAAATGTTGAAGGACAGTGCACTTTATTAGTGGATGAAGGCTGTATCTGGTATAGGCCATCCTTCGGTCCCCTAAGAATAATCTTACCCATCACATTGTCCTTAACGGAAAAACCAGAGGCATCAAATAGAAATGCAGCATCATTATCTCTACAGAATTGACTTACGGAGAGCAATTTCTTTGCAATATGAGGAACACATAAAATATTTTGCAAACGTATAGTACCAGAGAAGTAGGAATGATAGAATCACCATTGTGAGAAATAGGCAAATGCTCCCCATTACCGACTGTATCCTGATCTATGCCTTGATACTGGTTGTGAATAGATAAATTTCCAAGAAAGAGAAGGCTCTGTACATTTGGAAGTATAAGCTCATCTAGTCTGGTGGTGACAGAGAAAACTACTATGTCATACTGTACAGGAATACCACCTAGAAGATAATGAATGAGATCAGAATCTGAGATTATATATTGTGAAGCTGCCAGTGAGTCTGCAAGGCCCTTCACTTTCTGGAAATAATCTGGGATGGAGAGGTCTCCTTTCTTCACATGGGCAAGTTCCAACTTCAAACTGAGGATCAACAGATCTTGCTCAATCCAGGCTTCATGATCAGGATTTACAACTTGTGGGGTTTGGGAACTTGCTGAATCTCCGAGGAACTTAGATGGGCAGGATAATAATGAGCCATTGATGTAGCCCAGCAGGCGATGCCCCTTGAGTGCTGGAACAAATTTGGCTTGTCCAAAGGAGGTAGTTATTTCCATCTAATCTCACAGAGATGAGATTCATAAAGTTTGACAGAGAAACAACTGAAATGGAACGGTTTGTGGCTGTGGAATCAGCCTGGGGAGGAAGTCATGGTGAGTAGAGGTTGACGTGGGTCAAAAGTCTCTGATACCATAATACAGTCAGAAGTTGAAAAAAGTGTGCTCATCGTTATTTCATTTATCATTGATATTTATAGAGCTTAACAAGAAGTGTTTGAGATGAGTACAAACTGTTAGTAGTGTTTAAAACTTAAAATACAACAGAATAGATAAACATTTACCTCTCTAACAAAAACCCAACAGGCTGATTTTTGGGGAGGGACTCTGATCATGCTTAAGACCATAACAAGATTAGCAAATTGGTGATCCCAGGCCCTAGCTACTAACAGGCTTTTGATTGATTGAGAATTTGAAACAGAGAAATACCAAGGAAATAAATGAAACTGATTTTCTACTTACCCCTTTTATTAAGACAGAAAAGCTCTAGCTTCAACAAATTATTATGGGAAAAATAAAATTCGTTACTCAAATCACAAACACCAATATAAATTACAACCACAACAAAGCACCCACGAAAACCAGACTCTTACACATGCCCAAAAACAAGAATAAAAATAAAATTACAACATTGCACAATGATCATCATTGATAAATAAATGCATTGCCTAATAACTATTAATCCTCCTGCAGTTCTTCCTGATCTCTCCTTTTGAACCAGTCAATGGAGAGATATTCCCCATCTTAACCATGGACTTAGCAAATTGCTCGAAGAAAAGCTCATTATTCTCAGCATATTTCTTCACTAACTCCATTGATGCCTTGCTCTTTGTAAACAGGACTTGGTCAGAATTGAGCAGGCCTTTTGAAGCCAAAATGTTTTTGAAGTAGTGATTATCAAATTTCGTTGGAGTAACGAAGTCCAGGAAAAAGAGGTTTTGGTCACCACCGGATCTTGGGCATCTGGATCGTAACTGCATGGCGTATGATTGGTCAAGTGAGTAATCCGGCTGCCCATTGCCCGACTGGTTGTAGAGTCTTTGCCTGAAGCTTGTGCATCTAGCATTCCCAATTGTGTGGCTCCCTGCATGAGGAAATATGGTTAGACCATGCTTAATTTCATATATATATTGTTAATTACTCTTGGTTTTTCTCTTTTTCAAAGTAGTAACATTTATAAATGCTTGTAAAGAATATCTAAGGCCCGGTTGGCTTTTCGGTAAATTATTTATTCAGGTAAATGCAGTTATCTGGGTATGTTTTTTCTGGGAAACACTTACCCAGGTGTTGACCATTTTAGCCATAAAAATCCATTATTAAAAGGGACATTTTTTGTCCCATTCAAGTGTTGACAACTTTTCCCCCTAGGTGAAAATGTTGTTTACTCACCACCTATACAAGATGGGTATCACTTAACCAGGAAAATAAACTTTTCCTGGTCCCCACATAAATCTGAAAAAAGAAAATGGGACCTTGGTCAATGGAAACCAAAATGACATTGATCAACTTTTCCCTCTCTCAAAATCCAAAAAAAGAACACCCCCTAAAGAGAGAAGTGTAAGACATTCTGCATGTATATGTATATATATAAGTAGTTATTCAGATTCAACTAACTCTGGCTATCAGATAATAAAAGTACTGGATGAAGACCGGAAATCTTTAGTTAATACACCAAAAAATGCTTATGATCTCCAACGGATATATACGTACCAGAGAGAGCAACAAGGTCAACAATGTTAAGCCCTTGTAGCTTGAACTTGGTGAGGATAGTCTGAAATGTGTTGTTTGGTGCAGGTATGTTGTTGTTAGAGCCGCTTAAGCTTGCACCTCTGGAGTCTCTTCTGCCCAAGGGAACCTCCCAGCTAGGACCTCCGGCCTATATATGTGCAACAAAATTAATCATCAATTTGTACACTTGGATGAGCCAGCTTAGAGATACTCTGATCAATTCCAGAATAAAACTAAATGGATTCATGTTGGTGTCCTTTCAGCTAGCTTTGATCAGTTCTACAGAGAACCACAGCAAAGAAAAAGGAGCACACAATAAGAAAAAAAATGGGTGGTTTGGTCTTTCTCCTAAATCTATGGGAATGACAATAAATTAGGTTTTCTTCCATGAAAGAACCTGCTCTTCTTTTCCTAAACCCAAGCTTTATACCCATTTGCGCTTTTTGACAAATCTCTCTCTCTCCCTCCCTCTCTCTCTCTCTCTCCCCACAGACACACATACAAAAGACGATAAGAACAATAGAATCTATAGAGGTGTACTAGTGATGTGGGTTTTTACCAGAACAGTAGAATCTCTAGCAGCAAGGGCCAGAATATCGGCACAAGAAACGGTGTGTGGGCATTCCTTCTCCAGGGCATATTTTATCTCATCTATAACTTCGAACCCTCGTACTGAGTTCCGGTTTGGATTGGATCTCTTCTCGCTGATTATGCTACCACTGTTATCTAACAGTAGAGATGCATCACAGCCCTGAAATCCATGAAGGAAAAAGAAAGAGTTAAAAAGGAAAGACGTATACAGAAAATATACAAAAGAGCTTAATTAATACTCTTGCTAGCTGTTTGTATGGTTTTGTTTATGGGTGGGTAATGGAAGAAGCACCTTAACGAAACAGTCATGGAAATGGAGCCTGAGCAATGAAGCAGCCATTCGAGCTTCCCTTGCAACAGCCTTTGCAACAATCGACTTCACAATCTCTTGAGCTTTTGGGCAGGAGTAGTCATAGAATTGTGGGTAGAGATAACCACCACTAGTCTTGTGAGAAAAGCAGAAGGGAGTAAAAGCAAGAAGCAAAAGAACCATGAGAAAGCTCATAGAGTGAGCCATATTTTGCAATATTCCTAGTCTTTTTATGAAATGGTTTCTGTCACACAAGGAATTAACCTGGAGAGCTGGACTTACTCGAGGCTTGTTGTGATGAATGGTTAGATAGTTTGGGGTATTTATATACACAGGAGACTCATAGAAAAAGACATTGGAAGCTAAGAAGAATGAGAGAGAAATATTGTAATTAGGTAAAATATAATGGGAGTTGGTACTTGATTGGTTGTTTAATTAGTTTCTGCTTACCTGTTCATAAGAAGATTAAGTAAACTGCTATTGCAAGTTTGAAACATACATTATTGATTTGTTAATATTAAAGTAAAAGAAACATACGTTATAGATTAGGGGACTAGGCACAACGTAGTACCCCTGACACAGTCTGGACCTATCTAAACAAATAGGTCCAGAAACCCACGTAAGTCAAATGAATTGATCAAATCAGACAAGTGTCAAATTTGGTAATATTTATTACCTTGCTTAGAGCTCTTCAGAGTTAAAGTTGGTCTCCTGTAGCCGAGTATGTGACCAATTCAAGCCATATAACTGGTCCATAGTAATTAATTCGAATCTAATAATAGAAAGACTTTAGTTGGTCAACCATGACTTTGTTGTTTACGTAAGATGTAGAACATATTAGAGAAGTAGAATTACCTACTCAATTGACATTTGGATGCTTTTAATTTGTCATTATTATTATTATTTGATTTTCTTTAGCATCTCAACCATAAAGAATAGAAGAAATTAAGCACCCAATAAACTTTGTCCAAATGGGCCATACCTTGGGGGCTGAGGCTGCAAACATATTGGATCAGGTCATGGATATTTGCCAAGTCTACTACTTAATTGGAAACGGACAAACCATATATGGTTTCAAAGGTGACAGACTTGTTCTACGGTCAAGGCTATTCTCAGCATGATGTGGATTAGAAAGAAGTAATAAATTAGGAAACACAAGGATTTTCTCAACTCTCAACAAATAGCTCTAGGTAACAAAGCTCATAATGGGAATTACAAAGTTTTATATAGAGGAAAAAAACTATATAGAATTTAATACAAAACTAGCTTTTGAATGTAAGATTTAATGTAAAATTAATTGTTAGAAGTTTATTAATAAACTAGCCATTAAAAGCTTAGAAATCCACGAACTTAACCATACGATTCTACATTGGTTTCCCCCTTTTGAAAATAATTCATCCTCGAGTTTGATGTGGAAATCGTATTCCATAATTCTTCATCAATAGTCTTCACATCTTCTTCATTAATCCATGTAACTTAGGATGCAGACTTGCCCTTCCAACGAACCAAATAATGTGTAGATATCCCGTGACAAAGTCATTAAACATGTATTAAGGATATCAACAATTCTACATGATGTTTCCAAGTTGCAAAGGAAACAAGCTACATACATTTTCCTTTTGGAAGTTCCATTTGAACTGCTTGGGACTTTTGACAAACACCTGGCGTGCCCCAAAATAGAACTTCATAGACCCAATAGCAAACTGTTGGAAGTTTATATGGATACTACTAATAACAAAGTGATGATAAAAATGTAAAACAAAATCATATTTTGTTTTAAATACTTTAAATAAAAATGTAAAACAAAATCATATTTTTAAATACTTTTAATATCAAATAATTAATAACTAAATCATATTTTATATATTATTTCAAAAAAAAAAAACAGATTGAATAACGAAATCATGTTCTAGTTTAAAAAAAAAATTCTCAAAAACACAAAAATAATTATAATAGATTTAATAATATTTGATAATAAGAATATAAGAATTAAATAATTTAAAAAATAAATAAATAATATTATAAATAACTAATTTTTAAATGTTTAAATGTCAAAATATATTTAATACTAAATCATATTTTAAACATTATTTAAAAACGAAAAAAATATTAAATAATGAAATTATGTAATAACTTTTAGAATTTATTTATGACACAAAATTGATAATAATAGATTGAACAATATTGATAATAAGAATATTAGATATAAATAATTGAAAATTTTTTTAAATATTATTGAAATAGTGAAAGTAGATTGAGATAAAAAAAAAAAGTAGATTAAATAACTTAGAGGTATTGAAGCTTTATTAGTTATTTATTGTATTTTTGCCATAAGTTTTCAATAATTATTAGAGATTAAACTATTGTTATTTGATAGATATTAGACTATCAATTTAGCTGAAATTAAGAGTATTCACTAGGCAGTTCAGTTTGGTTCCACATTCTTTGGCCAACCAAACTGATATAGTCGGGTCGGGGAGATGGTCAGACGAAACTACCAAACATTAGTGAAACCGACCAACTCAAGTTATATCGATTAATGTTTTAAAAACCAACCCGGAGACCAACCTGCTTTTGCATCTGGGTCCTGATCACTGGTTCAACCGTCCTCATCGAACAGGTTAGACTGTTCCACGTCAGCACTTTATATATTTAAATACACATACAAATGTGCATATATGTATATATGGGTGCAATAAATACATATTTTTATCAATAAATAGTGTATAATTATGTTTTACATATAATATATGTATTAGTTTATATTTTTAATTTTTTTTCTTTTATAAAGAATGCTAAAATTTACGATTTGATGACAAAAAAGGGTTTTTTTGCAAAAATAGAGGGACAAGGCACCCATGACACTGTAAGATGCTTAGATCTTGAAAAGTTACCCAAAATAATAAAAAAAGATCACCTCAGTTGGACATCAAAGTTATGGTATCCAAAACTTTGCACATTCATTAAGTGTGCAACTTGCAATCTAGTAACCGATCAAAGAGGTCAACAATTGAACCCTCCAAGCTGGATAGTTTTTTATCAAGTCAATGATTTTTGACCGAAGGGTGGATTTCAATAGAACTAGACCCGGAATCATGATTGGGTGATGGTCAAACGATTCAATCGGTCGGGTCAATGGCAAATTGAAAACATTGGTATTGGTTTGGATTGGTTGGTAGGTAGATTTAAACTTAAAAAATTAAATTACATTTAAAAATACAATGATATTATTAAAAGAATAAACTTAAAAATTTAAGTTTACAATATAAAATATTTTAGACTAAGAAACATGGGAATTTTCCCACTTTCCTGTATTAAAATGTTATATTTGAAATACAAAATATTAGTATATATTTATGATTGGGTCAGTTCGATTTTGGTCGGTTTTCAAATGGCCAAACTAAAACTAACATGAGTTGGTCGGGTTGGGAAATTGCTGAACTGAATTTGACAGAAAATACTAGAAACTGAACAACTTGGGTTGAATTGGGTCAGTTTGGTCATTTCATCAGTTTGATGAACATCCCTAGCTGAAATTAATTATTTTTATTTTTGTATTTGCAAAAAAAATTATTAAAAATAGTATATAAAATGTAAATAATTATTAATTATTTAAAAATGAAATTATAAAATAATTGTCTATACTCATATATTTCTACTATTTTACTTTCACTTAACAAAGTTGGTGCATCACATGTTGTTCGATACATCATACAGATAAGCACCACTTGGCTCAATTAGGCACCACATAGGATACTTGAAGTGGAAACACCAGCCTCTAAGCAGAAAAGACGACAAAATATTGTTTGATTTTTGACAATAGGTGGGGACTTCTTTGACCTTTATGATACTTACTCCAATATATAACAGATACACAACAATAATTATTATTTTTTGGATTTTCTGAATGATTTCTTCATGCATATGTATTATTATTTAGTTTTTTTTACTTCAACAACTCCACGCAACTAATCTATACTACCTATAAAAGACCAAATATTCCCCTTGTCTAAGCATATAACGGGCATAAAGAGGGTGTGTATATATATATATATATGTATGTATTTTACTCTCACTTTAGAAACTGCCCATTTATAACCATTCAAAAACTGTCAACTTATAACTATTTAAAAACTGTTCATGAATTATAGATAGTTTTGTCTTAGAGATATTGTCACATACAAATGCGCATACAAGTACAATAATATATATATAAGAAAAAACTGGCACAAATTAGGCGTGATGGAATTAAAGATCATCTCTAGTAAGAACTGATAAATTCATCCAATAGTTGAATTACTCCTAAATAATTCCAAAATCTTGAAAATGACTGAAGCCTGAAGGTGCTGTCTGGTTCCGTTAGATGTAGTTTCCCCTGGCCTGTCGTCTTGTGATTGAATTAATCCCACGTTCAAAGAAAAGCCCACCAAACTGATTCTGGGGGAGGGAGAAGGAACCAATTAAAGGACTTTGATCATATTTAATACCATAACAAGAATGTATGGTTAATTGATGAGACCACCCGCAAACTGTGGGCCTATTTTTTAAATGAAACCGATACTATCGGTTTTTGAAAATCGGTAACTGAAATTGAATCGAAACCAATCTGTTAACCAGTTGACCAATTCGTTTAATTGTTGATTTGGTTTATTGTTTTTTTTATACTTATAATATATATTATAAATAAATATATAATTATATAATAGAAACCTAAAAACATATAATATTATTTTATAAATAATAAATAATACATATATATATAATGCATACATATATACATACACACACGCACACACACACATATATATATATATATATATAAACTGAATTTTTTTATTCGATCTTGTCGATTCAATTCGTGTGATCACCCATAGCTGAATCTGATATGGATGATTTAGAATGTTGGCATCACTTACTAAACAAGTCATATGGAATCCAGCAAATTTAATCCGGTTGGAGGGCAGACCATCCGAAAATTTTAGTAATGGATAAAATGAGAGGTTATGCCTAATAGGGGATGCATATAAGGATGTGCAACCTGGGTTGAGATGAGCCAATTGGCAACTGGATGTGTTGAAACCCTAACCCTATTCCAAATCCAATGGTTCTTCCGTATTAGAGTTATTTTCAACCCTAAACCTGCCTGACCATCAACAATCCATTCAGTTCAACAAAAATTACAAACCTATGGAATTTGCCAACATGAAAAAAAGTGAACTCATTAGAGATTTTCAACACAAACCTGAAATTAAAAAAAAAAAAATGAACTCAGTAGAAACTG